CAGGGTGTCCGTTCTCTGTCCAGGGTGTCAGTCCTCTGCTCAGGGTGTCCGTTCTCTGTCCAGGGTGTCAGTCCTCTGCTCAGGGTGTCCGTTCTCTGTCCAGGGTGTCAGTCCTCTGCCCAGGGTGTCAGTCCTCTGTCTAAGGTGTCAGTCCTCTGTCAAGGTGGTCAGTCTTTTGTCCTGGCTGGCAAAACTCTGTCAAGGTGGTCAGTCTTTTGTCCTGGCTGGCAAAACCAGGCCCGTAGCCAGGGGGGGTTTGGGGGGTTCGAAAGAACCGCCCCTTTTGCTGGGAAAAGGTCCACTCTGGGTAAAGTTTGATCTAGGTACATGGCATTTTTATGGGTAAAGGTCCACTTTTTCAGAAAAAGAACCCCCCTTTTGAAATTGCTGGCTACGGGCCCGAAAACTCTGTCAAGGTGGTCAGTCTTCTGTCCAGGCTGACAGTCCTCTGTCTCCTGCAGTGCAAGAGTAAATGACACTAGAAAAATTAACAAAATTTCTATATGTGCAATTTTTTTTTCCCATAATAAAGTTTTCTTCCCCATCAAGTGGAAATCAAAAGGAATCAACACAGGGGTTGGGGGGAGGGGGAGGAGGGAAGAAGTGCAGTTCAAGAAGTTTATTCAAACGATACCCGACTTTAACATTCTGAAATGTTAAGAGAGGGGTAATGCTATAGATCTTTGGGCAACACTTTAAATTTCCAAATGCTTTTCCTGCAGTACACCAATAGCCTGGGCAGAAATTGGCAATGGTTAGGGGTGGAAATAAGAACTTCCATTTCAAACACACTCTAATATTTCAACCTTATGCCAAATATCATGATGTAGGACATGAAGAGTGATGTGATGTCTTGGGTGTTGATCACTCTTCATTTAGTGGCACACCTGAGCATGTGATATAAAGATCCATCTTCACCCGAGTTCCGGGGTCATCCTCTGAATCAGTGACCATTTTAGCACCCATATTTCAACTCAATGTCTCCTGCTTATTCAAATCTTATTTTGGTAGCAGTAATTTTGAAAAGGATTTCCTCTCCCATGTTGCTATTTTTGTAGCTGTGTGTGTTTATTAATGGATGTTTTCACTAGCTCAGTCATGCTTTAAATATATTGCCAACATTCATACCTTGCCACCCCATCCACGCTTATACCTGAGATACTTAAATATAATTAACTCTTTCACCTCAAAAGAACAACAACAACAATGAATCCTGGTACAATAAGTTTTTGTGATTCACACCACTTTGACTTTGATGTCTTGAATGAAAAATGTTTCAATTTTGACCAACATACGACTATTAAAATGATTAACATTTGATTACTTTTTCATAGTGTTTATATTTTTATGCCATGAATCCTTTTATCTACCTATCAATGAACAAACGAAAAATAAAAAATTACATGCTTACTCTTGAATTCACTATTATACAAGGTTCGTGGTAAAATTCAGTTATACCGCTTAACAGTGAAGATTTACATTTCAAGAAGCATCTCACTACCACTACCAGAGGAGGAAAGATTTTTGTAATGTTTTGAGGTATTTTCAAGGCCACACATTTGTGAGACTGACAGTTTGAGATGTTCCCTCAATACTTCCGCCGGAAACTGTTTAAACCCATTGTAGTGAGCATAAAACAATGTGCCGCCATCAGGCTTCCTACTCATCATCATTCTATTGTTAATCTCCATGGTATCTATCTATCTATCTATCTATCTATCTATCTATATATATATATATATATATATACAGATAGATAGATATATGGACAGAAAAATACATTAGTAGCATGAGGCACATCAAAGTATGTATAAATAATGTGGCTAATTCATCTTTTGTTCAGGGAGAATTGATGCCATAATTATAATATCATCATTAATTTTAAAACTATCGCCAGCAATATTTATACTCTGTTGAAATGTATATGGACAAAACACACACACACACACACACACACACACACTGGCTATTTACTATTTTACTACTGGAGAACTGAGGAGGTGGGTATGGGGGTAAAATATAGGTAAAAGGCTTGGAGCTAGAAACTTATTAAATGTCCCATTCCTCCCTCTTGACACATCTGAGTAAAAATAATAGTGCAGGCAACCCCATATTTCAAATTATATTGGTTCCATTAATTAACAATTAATTTCCAAGTCTAATTTGATCACTTTACACTTTGCCACACTGCATGTGCACTCACCCTACAATGTACTTGAAAGATGAATGGTCCTATAACTAATATCCGAGACGAGATAAAAGGGCATTAGTGTTTGCTTAGGTACAGACTGTAGTTCCTGTACTTATGACCACTGCACACAACCCTCTACAGAAATATGACAACTGCCATTAGTCTTGATTAATATTAGAGATGGAATATTGATATAAGACTTTGAAACAAAATTTCAGGATGATTTGTAAGGACCATGCACCTATCTCAAAAATGTAAAAAAAAAATAATAAAATAAAAAATAAAAATTAAATTAATTGGTCTCTATTATGAATGGTCATGTGGAAATGTACTTTTAGTGCCTATGTACTCTAAACTCTGTGAGATGTGGGTGAAAAATTGCACATCACTTTTAGCGCAATAATACCTTAAATGTCCAAGTGTTCAAAGACATAATTCAATTTATTTTCTCAAAAGTTGTAAACAATGGGTAACCATTCTCTGTCCTGTGGCTCCTACATATCTAATGAGGATGCACTTCTATTACTTTTAAGTAGACTGGATCCAAATGACTTGAGCAGTACTTAGTGTAATCATGTCAACATCTTTGCAGTATTACAAAAAAAAAAAAAAAAAAGTTATACAATGGGGTTACTGATATTTATAAAAGATACTGCTATGAAAAACCATTTTTTTACAATAAACCAAGGATTGCTAACATCACCAGGATCGTATTTACTCAAGTCTATTGGCTCCTAGAGTGGAGATTGCCTTATTTGACCCCATCACAGTACAATCCATTAGAGGGAAATATGGCTTCTGGATCTATTTAAGAATCATGTCCTTAAAATAGAAATAAATGGACGGAAAGTGGGTACAAGTCACCTTTTTTATCCATTCATTATGTTATAAGTAGCTTTTCTACTACTGTTATTACTACTATGGAAAAGTATGGGGTGACATTTCTGCATAAATGAATTATTTTTCTCTCTGTGTCAAAGCAGAATTCATCCATTTCAACCATTAATGGTTATCTAAATGGCTTTTGAAATAATTTCTTTATCTTTGGAGAACTGAAAAATGGCTTATTAATAAATCAATTAGCCTTAATTCTAAAGAAACCCTTTTTCAAAAGGAAGGGAATTTATTATATACAGTGCTCACAAATGGTTACAGATTATCTATAAAAACTTTTTTTTTTTTACTTGAGGTAAACTTCTTGGAAATATGTTCGGTCTCTCGGCTCAGTGGTGTTCCCTTTGAATCAGACGTGGAGGTATCTTTTGAAATATTTCTATTTTCACTAATTTTTTTAAAACCAGGATAACACTGTACGTGTCTTAAGCCAGAGTTTTCAATCACACCACTCTAAAATCAAAATGAAAGCTACTCAGATCACACATTTTATTTCTTCCATTCTGAAAATATAAATAAAATATTTGCACCTCCAATTAAGGCCCTTATCATAAATATTTCAGTTTGTCAAATGAATACATGAATTAGCACCTTAATATATACATGAAATTTAAAGGTACATTATATCCATTAAAAATGTCCCAAAATCATATTTTAAAAACATCTTTCCCCATTCAGATCTTAAAAACAATAAAATTCCTCAAATAGAAGTACATGACGAAAATATTACCTTGTGAAATCTCTGGTCTAAATGAAAAACGATTGATTTTGCAGTGAACTATTTACTTAGAAATAGTGCAAAACAAGGAATCCAAGCGAAGGGACAGGCTAGCAATGATTTAATAGTATGTGAAAATTGCTTTTTTCTTTAGGAAAATAAGATTTGGCCCAAAAATCTCAAACAGAGTGCCTTTCACCTTTTAGCAGTTTTGAACATACAAACATGACTATGCACTACTATTATTTGTATATGTTTCACTTCAAAACCTTTTCACTGCAATTACTATGAGTTATAATATTATACCAAGTGTGTAAGGCCCCATTCAGAATACGGGACTAACTAGTGCGGGGGTCAAATATGGCCGACCCACTTGAATACTTCCCCACGGGATATCTATTCAGTGTCTTTTAGCAGATTAGACGGCAAGCTTTGTATTCGGTCGCCATATTTGACCCTCGGACTAGTTACTCCCCTATTCTGCATTGGGCCTAAGAATATTACACCTCAATCAGATTGCAATACATCAAAACTGATCCTTAAGTAATCAAACACAACTACTGCGACTGCACTTAACGTCATTGGAAAAGTCACCTTTGTTGAAGTAATAATGGTTTAATCACTTCATCACCAAAAGTAACAAATTAAAATCACTGGGTGATTGATATGTGCCTTGTTTTCAGACTTCATTGATGTCGCCAGTCTCCAATACTCCATGTGTTCTGCAGTAATTCCTCGCTACACTCACACCAAAGTTACCATATTCCTAACATAATACTGAATTTCTAATACCTCAGACTTGAAGAGAGAGAGAGAGAAAAAAGCATGGTTTTCTGTCAAAAAGTATCTATTTGTGAGTAAATTTGAATGATTTTTTTATATATATATAAAAAAAAAAATGAATAAAGTTTGGTATGTAAAATTCACAAGTAATTACCACAGTCAACTAAGAGTGGGTGTGATGATGGGCTGCATAATATCCACAGAAATGCTCCCAAAGGAAAAAAATGTGCTAGAATTTCATAAGCACACCATGCTGTCAAAGGTACGATGTACAACTGTGAAGATCTTGGAGAATCAGTCCTGATTTTAGCGAAATGTCATGGAATCTTGGAGTTGGTTTTTCCCAGAATGGTAGTGAACAGCGAATTTGCCTAGAGTAAAAATAAATAACGGTATCTTAAGTCAAAATTAAAATGAGGGCAATTCTGTACCCCTACCCAACTGAATGAAAGACAAATTACACAGAGATGAAAACAACAAAACAGATTGTGTACCAAAAAGTGAATCACTCCTTCAATAAACTTTAAAGGTGTATGAATAATAATAATAACAATAATAATAATAATATGAAATTTAAATCAGCAACTTGAAAGACAAATGATAAATGAATCAAGCAAATCAATGAATAAAAAGATATTTGTTGGTCTGTGAGACAAACTTTCCATCTGCATAGGCCTCTAGCTACCAAATGCATTTACTATATGATGTTATCAAACATTTTCCTTCTCTTTAGCTGAAATAACATATCTTTAGCACTTAGATAAAAACACTAAATGCCAATATATAGGTGTGCACTTGTGACATTAAGAATACACAACAAATTTTGGTACATTTCCTGACCTTCATGTCTTTTAAAGTTTTTTCTCACACTCATTCACAAAGCTGGCTGACACGTGCCATCTCTGTGAAATGTCCCTTGCAACAGTTTCCAAGCTTTCAAATGCTTTTAAAAGAGAATATATCAAAGTCATGTAATATTTGTCTGAAACCAAAATGTCACTGCCAATTACTGCAACCACAAATATTCCTAAACCCCTCAAGTAATCAGACATTTTGCTGTGTAAGAACTTTTTTTACCAACCTGTGCTCAGCAAAAACTTTTTGGGCTAAATGTACACGAATATTCAAGCAGGACAACCCACCATTTCACATTCAATTACATTAACAAACAATTCGCTTCTATAAAATTCAGAATAATTGGACTTAAACAATCATTTTTCTTTGTCTAAGTTCACTATTTATACACTCATGATGTAAAATAAACAGATACATGTTTTCCTCGTTCAAATTAACGTAAAAGCATTTTGTGCCCTCACTCAGTTGAGTTCAAAAGGGTCGCCATGACACAAAACACCCATTTATCAATTACTGGATGTGCAATGTTAATGTTCATCATATTCTTCATGAATCTGACTTCTGACAGATATTCGCCATCTTAGATTGCAATTTGGGATGAAAACTGAAAAATCATTTTCTAAAATTTCTCTTTTCCCTGAGCACCCACGATCATCGTTTTGACGCTGATTTAATGATACTATTTAGTACTCCAAAACTTTGCCAGTCATTTTTCTTGGAAGTCTAAGTTCAGATTTTATCACTGATAAAGTAAAATAATGTCTTTCTTTAATGAAAATCTGTAATTAGGGGCTCATAACTCCATAACAAAAACATATGAACCAAAATGATGGCACAGGATTGTAGCCTATACACTCCTGGTCAACTCTGCCAATTTTTGTGATAAAATCTTGTTCAGGGATGAAGTTACGCCCCATACCAATTGCTATCTCGCCTCAAAATAGAAAGGTGTTAAATTGATGATTAAAGCTTTGAGTTGCCTATGCTTATACATTGTAACATCGATATTTTATATTTTCGAGTTTTTTTATTGTTTTAATTTAGCACAAAGATAGATGCATTACTGAATAATTAGATGCAGGAAAATACTCAATTTTGGTATCTGGATGATAATAAAGGCTTAAAATATCCTTAATGGTATGTCATATGGGGGGGGGGGGGTGTGCAGGAGGAAATGAAGTCTAATGTGTATGCAACCACTATCTTTCACTGTTCTTTTATTTAAAAACAACTTCTATCCACTGCCTCTCTTCAACCAAAGCTGTACTAATGCTTTAATTACCAATAAAATTCTAAACATAAAAGGTTACCTCGAAGTCACTGTGTGTCACAGTATTAGAAATACGGAGATAGTTTTTATGAACGTCTGACAGTGATGTTGCTATTAAGGAAGCTCATGGGGCATACCCTGCCCAGGGGTAGGTACCCCGTTCTGAGGGAGTGGTCATAAACCTGAAACCAGGAATGATCTTCTTTAGTGTCACTGGGGGAAAACAATATTGTGAAACCCGAGAAAGGTCAACATTTATAGAAGACAATCAGTACAAAACGTCAGAAAAAAAAGAAAAAAAAAAAAAAATTGCAAAACTGTCCCTGTGACTAATCTTAAAAGGTGAGCTGAAGAGAATAGGTGCATGTGTCCAGTGTATGCTTTTTATTGAAACATTTTGCAGCAGTGTTGATATGAGCAAAACGGAAAAGCAAATAATTCTCACCCACATTTCAACCTTCAGCATCAATAATCTAACCATTATATCGAAAAGGAGGGTATGTTAACAACTTCCATCACTTAAGTCTCCATTTGGGAACAAACACCAGTACCTCTATCCATTAAATATGACTTTCAAAGAAGGAAACCTATGAATGCCCTGACAAGCTTGTTAACATCATAAAACAATTCCAGCTTATTTTCTGCAAATTTAATGCAAACTAAGTTTGCAAGAAAAAAATGGCAAAGCTGCTAATTTGCAGCAAATTTGCAAAAACATAAAATTCCTTTTGCAAATTTGCAGCAAATTTGCGAGAAGTTTGTGGCAGGCCTGAAATTGCTAGGGCAGTATGTGTTGCAAAAAAGGTCCACTAATTCACTTAAGTGGATTACAACTGAACCGTCTTGGGTCAAAGAAGGCAACTTTTTGGCCTGTAGTTCATTTGTGAGGCAGTCCTGACAGAAAAAAAAGAACACAATAACCCCCGCAAAGATTCTGCTGAACACATTGCCCTCACAACATATTCAGAGCATTTTGCTTCTACAATCTTGCCCCACTAGTCTGCAGTAAACCCATACTTGGTGGAAGGGGTAGAACTTTCAGGGGACTCTTTTGTCCATTATCAAAATTGTTTTATACTATTTGTTATAATTATTGCTGCCATTACTTGAAATATAATCACACACATGCACCCACGTACAAACACGTACACACACGGAGCATTTCCTTTACGGAAAAGTCACTTTTTTGTACAAAGTAGCAATCCATACCACTTTGTCTTCTATCATCTAAGTTGAAGCCTTTTTGTAACCTTGTCACCTTGTTCCTCTCTCTAATTAATAGCTGACTGTTCTCAAACAGGACTCCTTTATTTTTCAGCCAACAAGCTAGTGTTATGTTCCCTTCCTCATTATTCTAGGTGTTCACCAAGTGGAACAGTAATGCATGTTCTATTAGCGTTTTATGACTCGAGAAGAAAAAAAAAAAAAAAAAACATCATGAAACTAAATGATTTTATTCTTTTACAAAATGATTTGATCCATGAACTGCACACACGGTACAGCAGCTAATGTGGTTATAAAATGAAGTGAAGGGTAGACAAAGGTTGCATTTCCAGTCAACTCTTGGGGGTTTGACATGGTGAGACAGCACCATCAGAGAAGCATGCAGGGTTCGATCCCTTGATATCTAACCATAATAAAAATCCATTTAATCACTCTGTTATCCTACCCATCACTACAATAACTGATATTCAATTTGCATGTCATAACACTGACTTGCTGTTGTAATATCTAAGAAATTACATTGGCTGATGGAGAGTATGAAATTTAGCCAGCACACTTCCCTTAATTTTTTATGCACTGATGGAATCATTTAGTACCATTAAGATAAGTTGTGCTGTCTGCCTTCCATTTGTTTTTTTTTTAAATACTCATATCATATATGACCCTTCACCCAAAAATATTCCACATCTATGAAGTGAAGTCTCGAAAACTTAAAAAAAATAGAAATCCCTTCCCTCCACACAAGTTTTCCTACACAACTACACAACCTACGCTTGGGAAGCCCCCTAAATGTCAAGAAAAAAAAATTCTGGGGAAACCCTCAAACATCTTCTATGTTCAGGTTACCAACCTAGAAAACTATAGCACAATCAATAGAACACACTTCAGAAAAAAATAACTCAGAGATTGTCCTATTGATCCACTATCAAATAACCAACATACACATATATATAGATAAGCAAACCAAGTAAAGTCTTATTTTCTCAGACAGCATCGCTTTGGGAAACCAATCTGGTAAAACTCGTACATTTCACCTCAGGTGACCTGAGATGACCCGGTTTTCTCTCGCCGTCAGTGCAGACGCACACCAAGCTCCCAAGGATGTTCTCCACTCATCTGGAAGACAAACAAAGACCTTCTTTGAAGAGCATAATGCATCTTTTTGACCATGAACAAAATCTGATCAAACCTGCATATGGCTGCGCATGTTTAATTTCCGCTGCACTTTTTCTTGATTACGGAGCACTGAGCATATAAGGCGGCTGCTGGATATCCTCAGATGTCCTCAGCAAATAGTACATGTCTGGGGTTTCACAGTGAATTTATAGCCAGTAACAGAGGTATCAGAATTTCACAAATATGCACTGACAGACAATTGCGAGAGAGAGAGAGAGAGTGAGAGAGAGAGAGAGAGAGAGAGCCCATATACTTCGCATAAAAGTATTCTCATCTGGTTTTGCATTTATGCACTGCAGAGAAATTTTCACTGTATTAATGCTTCACATGATTCACCTGATGGTGTTTTTTTCACAAATTAGTGTATTTTAATGTATCTTGTCATAGAGGACAAAGTTCTCATTGACAAATGAACTGTGTCCATATTTTTACCAACCACTAAGAAAAAAAAAAAAAGGCAAGTTGTCTAATTTGAAACAAAAAGAGAGAGAGAAAAAAGTAAATTGCACTTGATTAGAATATTTAAAAAAATTGCTACATTTTTTCCAATTTGCTATCATTTGCACCCATATCTCAAGCAGACTCACAACTCCTACACATATCATTACCATTTATATTTACAATCAACTAGGAAAAGCTGCATCATTTCCAAATTAAAAGGAGAAAAAATCTGTATTAAAAAAAGCAAAATTTAGATATGCACTCAACCACTAAGCAAAAAAGAAGCATGTTGTCCAATTTGAAACGAACACAAAGAGAGAGAGAAAAAAAAGTAAATTGCACTTGATCAGAATGTTTAAAAAAAATTGCTACATTTTTCTCCAATTTGCAAGCCCACTCCACTCG